CATGTATTTTAATCAAATATATTGAAATGAGTAGGTAGCAAAGATTAAATTATTATACACATGCGCTGATTGATTTATTCTGTTTATGACTTTTGAATATCCTTAAAGCAGGGAATTGTTTCATGTCACCATATCATTGTCATTGTTTAATTTGGTTTCCATTAAAAGCCATTCAGGACTGGAGTTTCACTTTGTCTTTCAATTGTAGTGGGGACAGGTCTATGCTAACAGACCATCTTTTATCAATCCTCTTGGAAATATGGACCTGACTGGCAGAATTAATTTATAATGCGTGGCAGTGAATCTTTCCCCCCCCACACACAAATCATCTAAGTTTAGAAGGGGTATGATTCGCAATAGTATTTATTTATCAAAAACTTCTACGGAAAGCACAGTTAAACAGTTCAAAAAATTTCATTTCACAGAATGATTTACAAAAGAAGACTTTCAAATGAGCAAATTGTTGCAGTGCCATTCAGCTCTAGGTAGCTGGAATGTACACAGATAACTCAGAGTAACCCTGTACCTCTGGGTGACACTTCATATTTCTAATCAGTTATTCTCCACCAAGTTCAATGAGAGTGCAACAAAATTTCATAGTGCCAAATAGATGCCAGTTGGCTGTTCAGTTAATGTATTTTGACTTTCGGCAATATTCAGTTGAGTAAAAAAGAAAATATATATCAAACGTTAAAATCCCAAGTGTATTTTGGAGACACTTTTACTACAAATAACTTTTTTAAAAATCCAAGAAGGAAGACTGTAGGTAGGAATACTTTTTAAAAATTCATAAACACATTATCTCCAAAAGGTATTACTTGATAAAATAGTTGAGATCTAGATCTTGGAAAATCTACAGGATTTTTACCCCTTTGGTGTGGCTCTGTTATGAAGAGTTCACTTTTTGTTTTGGTCTGCAATCTTTCCCTCAAAAAATAGCTTTTAAATCATTTAAATTGCTACACTGTTAATCAGTGATGGCAAATATAAAAGCTATCCAAGAAAAAGGCCATGTCCCATCTGTACCGGTTGTCTAGAGATGGGCATTGGGTCCCCATCACGCGCCATCCTCATTGACGAGCCCCCCTCCCCCCCGCCTTTAGTGTTTGAAGCCTGGTCCCTTTGGCCCTTCATGATCATACATGTTGGTGTGCTGCTTCCATGATGCACAGCGGTACAGATGGGAATTGGAAATGCAGGGAATCTAGGACAGATGAACCCCTCAGGACCAGGGGTGACAGTGGCGATACCAGGAGGGAAGGGGGGTGTAGAAAGGGGGAACTGATCACAGGGAGCTACATATAACCTCCTTTCTGGGGGACGGGCAGTGAAGGGAGACGCCGGGCAGTGTAATATAAGATATAATAATAATTTATAAATTATCAAGGGTGCATGGGGGAGGGGGGAGGAGGGAGGGAGGAGGAGGGGAAAAAAGGAAAATGAGCTGATTCCAGGAAACCAAGAGGCAAGCGAATTTTGGGAATGATGAGGGCAACAAATGTATAGTTGAGCTTTACACAATTGATCTATGTATTGTGATGAATTGTATGAGCCCCAATAAATTGATCAAAAGAAAAAAAAAGGCCATGTGTTTTGTGTTTGTTAATACATCTTTTTAAGACAGTACACCTATTGGAGAGGGACACATGTATGTTAAAGGGTAATCTTTGGCTCACCATCAGATGATATACAAATTGTTTGCTAAGCAATATTTTAAGACAAATGACATTGTGTTGTTAATCTATAGAGAAACTTTTTTACTTAGTAGCCCATGTGCACATGTGTGCCAAGATGACAGAGCTTAACAAGAAAATAGTTGCAAACCAAAAGTCTGTTTATTTAGAATTTAGAATTTGAATTTAAAAACATTTTTACAGAGGTACACCCACAAATCAACAAAGTAAAATGTGGTGAAAGTTTTCATCTGCTCAGTTTATATTTAAAAAAGACATGGCTCAATAAATGTGTTGCTGGTCTATGCTGAGAAATGTGGAGCTAAGAAGCTGAAGTGGGCAAGGAATGGCTAGTTAGTTTCAGGGAAGAAAGATGACAAAAGTATGGTTTTAAGTGATATAGGTAATTTTTAATCTATCGTAAAATGCTTTTGCTTGGTTTAATAAATCATTTCTTCTTAGACCCAATTATTAGAAGATAGTACAAAGAAATACTACTTCATATTTAGTATGAATGGCTTACAAATAAATAGTACATATGCTATATACATAACACATAAAATATTAAGTATAATATATAAGCATATTTTATGATATATGATGCATATTCAGTCTTCATTGGGGGGGGGGAAATAATGGTTTCAGATATAAACTTGCATGTCATCAAAGTTCCTATCTAGGTCATTATGAAGTTTCTCTTTATAGTTGCCCTGCTTTTCCAATTAATAATTTTCAACACCTTCATATAGAATGTTTAAAACACATGTATAACCTTAACCTAAATTGTGTGTCTATGTCTTTTACAAGCGATCGATGTTTATAACTAAATATAAATACTCTTCATTTTCCCATTAAGTGCTTTGACAAGTAAAAATAAAACTAGATCAGCAAAGGTCATGCTTTACAAAGTCAAAGCAGTGGAAACTTCAGGTTCATGTTACGTCCTTTAAACTGCATCACAATCATTATCTGGAGGATTTGTTGTGGGTTCCACACTCAAAGTTTCCCATTCAGAAAGTCTGAAGAGGGGCATGAGAATTTGAATTTTAACCAGCTGCAGGTCAGAAGCTCACAAATGAAAAACCTAACTTCAGTGCTATTCAAGACCTAGGTGGCACAGAAAAAAATAGATGCACCTACTCACACCTGCATATAAAAACACCCACCTAAGCTATTACATTTAAAATGACTGCTTCATATTTTTTTAGAAAACTGATGCCATTCCTAGCCACAAGATTAATAACCACATAAATATTACTTTTTAAAAAGTCCACTACCTATTGATACCATGATGAAATCAGAAGAGAATAGCTCCTTTTACTACGAAGGTTTATGGCCACAGAGTTATTTCCTACTTGTCGCCACTACTTTATCCTACCCTTTTCCCCTTCCCAATGTGAGACTTGTCAGGACAAATAATCTGAATGATAAAAATGACAGGAAAATGGAACCCAGAGTTTCTATTACAGACAATCCTAGCAATAATATCCCCCATCTTTCTCACTATCATCACCCCTGTTTCCTCACCCCTCCACCACCACCTCCACACACTTTTTTAAACAATCCTTTTTCACTAGGATGAGCTGAACCAGTTGGGAGAAAAAGACTTGGGCATGATGTGAGAGGAATTAAGACTCTTGTATCCTAAGGAGCATCCCCGTGAGTGGTCTCTAGCTGCCAAGTCCTTCCATCCCTAGAACACTGGTTTCTCTCAGCAGTCCTCTCCATACACACCAGAATACTAGTGTAGAAGAACACTAAGCGAATTCTTGCTTTCCTCAGGCCCCACCTCCTCTTGTCAGCCAGGCCAGAGGTCTTCCAGAAGGCTCAGCATCTCACACACAGTCCCCAGCAGCCACCACAACCAGGCAAGGCCTATTCCATCTGGGAGGATGGGTGGGGAAAGAGGTGAAATTGAGCTCCCCTGAGCGGTATAGTGAAGGCTCCTAGGCAGCGATTTGGAAGGGACTAGGGAAATGGGAAAGGGGAGTGGCAGGAGGTGCGCAGGAGGGACTGGAGCTTCCCCTCCCTCAGTTCTACTCTGCCCCAGACTCAGCTAGAAGTCCAGGGGGTAATGTTTAGGTCCAGGCCCAAGCTCCGTCTTTGGCATCTTGCCCTACTCACCTGCCAACTGGGCACACCACTTTACCGGCGAGTTTGAGTCTCAAGGTCCCCTTGCACTCCGGCGCACCTCTTAGCCTTCAGAGGGCTTCTGGGATACTTCCAAAAGGATGCATGCATTGATTTGGCCCCAAGCCCCTCCTAAGAACAGGGATTATGGGCAGGATTCCCAAGCTCTGGACAACTCTCCTCCGGAAACTATGGGTGGTCTGCTGTCCCCTATGGATTGTTTTCCTAACCCCAGTACCACATATGCTGAGCACAAAAGTTGTTTCCTCTGTGGGGCTTGTCCCAGGAGAGGATGTACATTTCATACACCTTGCAGTCTTTCTGGGTGTGAGTGACAGAGTGAGTAAGGGATTGATTGAGTGAGTGAGTATATAGGTATGTCAGGCTTGAAAGCCAAGGGTGCCAACTGCTGACAAGCAAAAGAACCTGGATCTGCTTTTGAGGACTTCAAAACCTCTGGATTAACCTAACCTGCTCAGATCTGGGTTTTCAGTGGAAGGCAGAGACCTTGCTCTTTTTGCAGTGAGCTGGTGTCCTGCCCCAGAATAGAAACGCGCGGACTTGGCCGTCTGTTCATTCATGCATTTGCTCATCCATTCACACAAACATGTCCCTTAATTGTGTCTGGCACCGAAAATCTTGCCTGCTTTTTTCCCTTCCCCAAGTCAGTGCTCATGGCAACCGCTGGTGCAGAACGCAACTCAACTGTCACCCCACTTCCTGAGCCAGAAAAATCAAGTCTTGTAAGCATTCACCAAAAGCGGGGCGGGGAGGGGGGGCGGGGGGAGATGGGAGGGAAGGGGCGGAGAGGGGCGGGGAGACTCGCGGGGGTCACATTCGAAGCTTCACGGTGGGAAATCGTGGCACTGAAACCCGCGGCAAGCAAGGAGTCAAGCCATTATTAAATCAAAGACTGCTCGAGCTCGGGTCCCCTGCGGGGATCAATCAAGTGCAAAGCCACTCGTTCGCACTAGTGCTGTGCTGTGCTGCCGGCTGACTCAACTCAGAGCCCGGGCGCCGCCGGGGAACGGCTCGCAGCCCAATCCGCAGAACACTCGCTGCCCCCTCCTCGCGCCCGATAAGGCGACGAAGTGTAAATCAAAAGCCACGCCGGGAGGAGCGAGTCGTGCATGTTCGCAGACCAGCCAGTCTTGCCCAAGAATCACAAGGTCACGATAGCGTTGCAATTCCACTCACCGTACACTCCTTGGCCAGAGATCCCCTCCAGGAGGACTGTCAGCAGCCACACGAGACCGTACACTAAATCCATCTTCGCGCGAACAGGAGCATATCCAGCCCACGGGGGACGCGGCGGGACCTGCCGGCGGCCGGCGGCCGGCCGGGCGCACTCCACTCGCGCCCCAGCCGAACCCAGGTGCCCGGGCACCGCTCGCCCAAGGAGGAAGCGCCGTCCGTCCGTCCTTCTCCGGCGGCGGCTGCGAGCGGAGCGCAGGAGCCCCACACACCCCACACTCATCCACACACACGCACACACACCCACAACACGACACACGGCCACACACACGCACACGCACACCCGCACTCACACCGGGCGCCTGGGAAAATCGCAGACGCCGGGGAGGAGCAGGGGGCGGTGATTGGAAGAGGAGCCCGAGGAGCCCGGAGACCGAGTGTTCTTCAGAGAAGCGGGCTCGAGTCTCCTCCGCTGCGGCGGCGGCGGCGGGCGCGGGCAGGGCGCCAGGGGTACCGCGCGCGGAGAGCCCGGTGCGGGCAGTCGGGGCGCAGGAAGTGGCCTCTGACCCGGGGCACCGAGCTGGGCTTCGTCGTCTGGACTCGCCTTTACAAAGTAACTCGCGCAGGTCCCCGGAGGAGCGTCACGCGGCGGCGGCGGCCCGCCGGCCCGCAGTCCGGAGCCCCGAGCCCCGCTGTCTTGCCTTCCCCCATTCCATCAGTTGCCATTGCAACGCCAATCCTCTCACGCCGGCAGACAGGCTCCCATCGCCCAGCGGGGAGAGGAGGAGGAGGAGGAAGAGTGGGGCGGGGGCTCGGGGTGGGGGTGGGGGGCGAGGGAAGGGAGGACGGGAAGATAGGAGGGGGGACCGGAGAGGGACGGGCCGAGCGCAATGTGCGTCTGGAGCTCGCTTGGGCACCAGCCTCCGCAGCCGCCGCCGCCGCTCTTCAGAACAGCCTTTCTGGCCCCGCCGGAGAGGCTGGGGCTCGAACCGGCCGCACCGATTCCGGGAGCCGAACGCGGAGTCCAGGCATCGCCGCTGGCCAGCGGAGACCGGGTGGGCACGCACGTCTACCGTGCCCCCGGCTCCGCGC